TAAATATGAATACAATTATGTGAAAAATATTTGCATAAAAGTTGATTGAAGGCAAATTTACTGAAATGTAAATAGAGGTTTTGTTTGGGTTGCTGGGCCCTGGGTGGTTTGGATTTTTTTCATTTTCCTTAGTAGGTAGGTTTTTCATCTTTCATTATGAAAGTATTGGAAAGGCCAGGTGCGGTGGCTCACGCCTGTAACCCCAGCACTTTGGGAGGCAGAGGCGGGCGGATCACCTGAGGTCAGGAGTTCCAGACCAGCCTGGCCAACATGGTGAAACCCCGTCTCTACTAAAAATACACAAAAAAAGTTAGCCAGGCGTGGTGGCAGGGGCCTATAATCCCAGCTACTCGGGAGACTGAGGCAGGAGAGTCTCTTGAGCCTGAGAGACGGAGGTTCCAGTGAGCTGAGAACACGCCATTGCACTCCAGTCTGTGTGACAGAGCAAGGCTCTGTCTCAAAAAAAAAAAAGTATTGGAAAATCTGTATACCCATTTAATACATTACTGTTCCCACCATATTGAGAACTTGTTAAAGAGAAAAACTTCAAGGAGGCAGTGCAGCATAATAAAGGGCCCAGTTTCTGGAGCAATACCACTTAAGGTTAAAAAAAAATCACAGTTTTGCCATTTTCTGGCTGTTTAATCTTTGAGCAAAGTCTAAATTTTTTGTTCCTCATTTCCTCACGTTTATCTCATAGGGTCATTGTGAAAATAAAAATAATCCATGTGAAGTACTTGGGCGAGGACTTGGCTTATAGCAAACGGTCAGATTAGCATTAGCTACTGGCCGCAACAGTTGAAGCTGGAATGGCTGTCAAAATCTCTGCGCTTACAAACAAAAAAGTGATATTCAAAATTAAATGACAGTCACTGAGGTGACATGTCTTAATAAGTGGTACTTGTCAATTAAACAGCTTGGGAAATGTCTGTACTGCATGTTATTCTAACTGCACCTAATTTGGCCCCAAATTTAATTACATGCATGTCTCTCTTTCACACATGAACATGTTCTCAAAAGCTATCTAACACAAACCAAGAGTTTCAAACCCCAAAGGGCTCAGTTCTGTTTCTCTAAATGTCTGGGCTTATTTTCTAAAATAGGTTTTTCAGGCCAAATGTTTCCCAGAAACCTAAATGACAGAATGGAGACAGAGAATGAGAAGACTTGCAGTTATGCCTTGGCTTTATTACAAATTCAACCGGCTGGCTTTCAGTCAGTCAAATTTCAAGACATTTGTTCCCTGAAACACAGAATGGGAAGAACTGCTTGCTTTCTTATTTCAAAGATAGTGTAAGAGGCATATATAACTCACAGATCTGAGGCAAGAATTCTATATGAAATAAATCATAAAATATCTCTTTCCTCTTCCTATCTGCTTTCTTTATTCCCATTAACATGTAATTAGTTCTTAATCAGATGAACTTTAACTTGATTGTGAGTTAAATTAGAATGTACAAAACAGTACCCATCATCATGTGATGGTTAATTTTATGTATCAAATTGACTGGACCACACGATGCCCAAATACTTGGTCAGACATTATTCTGGGTGTTTCTGTAGGGGTGTTTTGGATGAGATTAACATTTATATTGGCAGACTGAGTAAAGCATATTGCTCTCCCTAGGTGGGCCTCATCCAATCAGTTGAAGGTCTGAGTAGAACAAAATACTGCCTTCCTCCAAGTAAAAGAGAATTCTCCTGCCTGATGGGCTTTGAACTAGAACATTGGCTCTTCCAGCCTGCTGGACATCAGCTCTGCAGATTTTTTTTTTTTTTTGAGACAGTGTCTCGCTCTGTCACCCAGGCTGGAGTGCAGTGGTGCAATTTTGGCTTGCTGCAACCTCTGCCTCCCAGGTTCAAGCAATTCTCCTGCCTCAGCCTCCCAAGTAGCTGAGACTATAGGCACCCACCACCATGCCTGGCTAATTTTTGTATTTTTTAGTAGAGATGGGGTTTCATCACGTTGGCCAGGCTCGTTTTGAACTTCTGACCTCAAAGGATCCACTTGCTTCAGCTTCCCAAAGTGTTGGGACTAAAGGCATAAGCCACTGCACCCAGTCAAGCTCTGCAGATTTTGGATTTGTCAGCCTCAATAATTGTGTGAGCCAATTCCTTATAGTAAACACACGTATACTTATATATCTATATCTCCCTATATATTTATTTCTATATATCTTATATTTATAATATTTATCCCTCTTATTGGTTCTGTTTTCCTGGAGGACTCTAATATAGAACAATATCATCATACCAAAACTGCAGCTAAAACTCGAGAGAATTCAGGTCATCCTGGAAAACTAAACGCAGGCAGGGTTTTCTAACAACAAAGGTCATATATTCTGACTATATTCTGAAGTCTCTGGTATTTATGGCAGAATCAAAAAATATACGTAGAAACATGGTGAAACCCTGTCTCTACAAAAAATACAAAAATTAGCTGGGCATGGTGGAATGAGCCTGTAGTTCCAGGTACTCATGAGGCTAAGGTGAGAAGGCTGGAGGATTGCTTGGGTCCAGGAGGTTGAGGCTGTAGTGAGCTGAGATAGCACCACTACATTCCAGCCGGGGCAAGAGAGTAAGACCATGTCT